CTGATCATCTAATCCACACTTCCTTAATTTAACAGCGAGGATACTGCGGGAGACAATGTCAGATGCCTTACTGAAATCAAGATAGACCACATCCACTGCTTTGCCATCATCTAGCCACCTGGTTGTGTCTTCATAAAAGTCTAGAAGGTTGGTCAAGCATGACTTCCCCTTGGTGAAGCCATGTTGACTGCCCCTAATGACCCCCTTATCCCTGATATGCCTTGAGATGGCACCAAGGATAAGTCATTCCATCCCCTTCCCAGGAATGGGGTGAGGCTGACCAGTCTGTAGGTACCCGGGTCCTCTTTCTTGCCCTTTTTTAAGGCTGGAGTGACATTTGCCTTCCTCCAGTCCTCAGGCACCTCTCCTGTTCCCCACGACTTAGCAAAGATGATGGGGAGTGGTCTAGCTATGACTTCAGCCAGCTCCCTCAGCACCCACGGGTGCATCCCATCTGGACCCATAGATTTATGGATGTCCAGATTGCTTAATTGGTCCCTAACCCAGTCCTCATCCACCAAGGCAAACTCCTCTATTGTCCTGACTTCCTCTGGGGCCTCAGGGGTACGGGGCTTCTCAGGACAGCTTCCAGCAGAGTAGACAGAGACAAAGAAAAAACATCTTTATAATTTTTTAGAGGATTTCCCATACAGCATCATGGAAATATGCTGTTACAGATCTGATATGTTCTCATTAGAGTTACAGAATTTGAAATGTCAATGAAAGGGGAAAGTACAATTAGAGCAGATGAAGGACAAACTTGCTTGTAGGGCAGAGATAACATTGTACGCATGCTTTTGGAGGATAACACATAAATGCTTCTCCATTTCCTTTCCCCTCAGTTTTCCAAGCTTGCCATTGCTAACAGTCTCATTTTCAGTCCAAACATTTACTCTAAGATTAAGAACAGCAGAAGTACTGGTGCAAAGAAGAGTCTGATGTCTCTATCAAAATTTGCTCGTCGTGCAGTCGCAGTGAAGCAGCTGCATAGATATTTTTCATTTACAAGAGTATCTGTAGACTGGCAGAAGCATGCTTCCAGCCTTTCTGTCACTGGTAACTACATGCTTATGTTGCCATAGGCATCTTCTGATAGTCCTCAGCTGCATGGCATGAAGAAAAGATGGTGGGAGTCATGTCAGCACTTCCTTCGTTATTACTAGTGGACCTCATTTTGATGAAGAATTATAAGATAAAGCAAGTAACTATCAGAATCATACATCCCTTTTTTTGTAGGCTTGAAGTTATCTTAATAGCAAAACTGAATTTCTCTTTCAATTTTTTTTTTCATCTTTTTTCCCCCCTTTTTTCTTTTTTTTTTTTTTTTGTGGAAAAGATACTGCACTATAAACAAGCAGATTTTGTGAATGCTTTGCATTTAAAGCATGAGCATAAGCAGAGATACGTGAATTAGCCGGCTTTGAAAGCTAGATGCTAGCCATGAAGAAAATGATTTTACATATTAATAAATGCAACAAAGAATTCCAGATCTTTCTGCATTAGCTCTGTTTGACAATTTTTACATGCATGCATGATTTTGGTATCAGTGTGCAACATGCAGGTCTTATTTGGCAGAATAAAAGCTCTTTATCTATTTCTTCATTAATGTTTCCGTTACCATTCTTGGATCGTGAATAAGTGATTAATACCTATATTGCCAGAACTTGTCAGTATAATGCACCAGCATGTGTATTTCAAGAACACAATGACTTGCTTTGGTGTGATAAATGTGTTGGGTTGTTTATATGAAAGACACTTTGTTGCTACAGATAAGAGGAGGTGTAATGTGATGCAATGTTCATGAATATTGATCTGTGGTGGCTGTTCCATTTGTTGTTTTGTAATTCATAACAGATACCTCTTAAGGTGTTGTATCATCCCTGTCAATGACCATCTGTTAGTGAATGTAGCTATTTTAGTCAGTGGTGGAGGTTTGAGTAGTAAAACAGACATACTGCCAGGCTTGCAGGATGTATTTGCTGATTATACATTCCCAGTTAAAAAAAAAAAAAAACAACCCTAGAGTGATAACGTATGAAAGAATCCACAACTCAGGCTTGTATCTAACTGCCTCTTAGAACACAAGTTTGTGTGCTGCCCCAGGAGTAGTGCTTAATTCCCCATACTGATGTGAAAATCACTGAGCTATCTTCAAGGCTGGGACTCTCCGAATGTTGATATTACAAATCTGCTTGTGATTGCAAGGAGAACAGTAAAAAACACCAGTTATTTATGAAGTAATACAGCTGGGAAAGTACATCTCCTTAAAAAGCAAAATATGTATACTTTATGCATTTCAATAGCTAGTAAAATTCAGAACCTCGAATTAATTGTAGTTGTTTATATTGCTTAGCCCATAGTGGTTTTAGGAATATCTAGGAAATAGTTTTATTACATCACTGCAAAATGTCTTTGAGTGTATTCACTTCCAGAAAATTTCTAGAATGCATTTCTATTGTGTGAATAAAAACTGTTGAACTTTGCACCGCAGGTGTCTTAACTTTAACTGGTACTAATCTGTACTGTCCTTTTCTATTCAAACTCGTCTAAATTATATTTTGCCCTGACTTTGTTTTAGAGAGGGACATTGAGGCTAATCAGAATATTTGCCTTCAGAAGTGGCTAAAAATTGTCTTTGTAAAACATAGAATCTGAGATTTCAGTGAGGGGTTTTAACTCATTTTATAAAAGGTGAGATCACAGACCAAAGTCAGAATAGCAACACTACGAGTTGATTCTCATTGTTGAAGTCTCTTCTGTTTTCTAAAAATTTTAAGATCTGTTTTAATTGGATGTATCTGCTCTCTCTAGGCACCCAAAATCTCATCTTCCCATCATATGCAGGGGCTGCTGGGTTTGCCCCAGCCATGAGCTTTCCTCATAGTGCTGGTAAGGTTTCTATTTTCTAAAAATGTGAATACACCTGTGTTCAGAGCAAGTTGTTTTCAAATATAGCAGTCAGAACACAATGTTTATTTGAGTCATTCTGATACTCTTTCTCCTATTATTAATCAAAATTACTTTCTGTAATAAAAAATATATGCTGATGTAGTTTATCATTTAATAAAGTGAAGAAATTAAGTACCATGAAAAAGATTACCTGCAAGAGAAGAAGCTAAACATCTGTTTTTCTAAGAATCACAAGACTTCAGTGACATTCAAAGCTAAAGCAGGAAGTGTCCCCTTTTCTGGCTATAAAATGAGAAATAATAGACTCTTTTCCTTTCTAGCTCAGGATAAACTTTTGTGCCAAATTATTTTTCTTCTTTCTTAGACTGCAGTTTATGTCCCCTTTTGTTTGTGGGTTGGTGTAGCTGAATATTTCTTCATCTCTGCGAGGGGAGGTGCTTCCTGCTTCATTGGTCAGATACTAGGAATAACTAAATTTCTTTAAAGCATTTTTTAATTGAATATTGATGTTTCTGACAAGTGTAAGCTGCTTTTGTCTTCTGAAATGTCTCTTCCTCTTTGAGATGTCAAGTGGTGCTATTAATGCCCTTACAGGTCTTTCAGTTCCAGCTGTTCCTGGAGCACTTGGTTCTCTTGCAGTCACCCCATCTCCAGGATCTGGACAGATGACTATTCCTGGTGTTACTGGTGTTCCAGGAAATTCTGTTTTACTGGTCAGCAACCTCAACCCTGAAGTAAGTTTGATTGATGGATCTAATGCAAGTATCAACTTGTACCGACTGCCAGAATCCTTCTTACAATTTGACATTAACTGAAGGAATAAGAGGGGAAGCTCTATGCTGCTAATACATAAAAAAAAAGGACAGCTCTATTCTTGTTTGAGAGTGTTTACAATATTGATGAGTTTTAAAAACTCCAATCAGCAGTGAAAAGCTTCCTAACATAATTTACTTCAGGAAACCTATGTTAGCAGTGTACCTAGTAATTAGAGAGAAGTCTATGGTCAGACATGAGAAATGTTTGAAGGGATAGAAAACATATATTATGACTAAACTTACTGTTATATCTGTTAATAACAACTCCTCTTGTGTGCCTCTTTATCAGTAGAGGAACCAAAGAATTTTTTGTTTGTTACAAAACACAAGGAGTTAGAAAAACAGGAGGAAAGAGAAAATGAGATAAAAGCATGCCAGATCAAGTGCCTTTCAAAATATTGATAGGAGCTTTCTAATTTTGCAACTTCTCGCAGTTTGGAGAGGAAGAACACAGGTGCAATTTGCTATTGACATCACTGTAAATCCATTTTATAAAAGTTAATAAATACACATGGTTGCTTTTCATAGTTTAACTCGGGGTTTTTTTTTTCATACGTTCACGGTAGAATTTCCAAGAACAACTTGGATGGTTTTCTTTATAGCAGAAATGACATAGACTGTTCTATAAGCTTACTCCTATTACTCAAATATTACGCATTGATCTGCACTTAATTAAAAGCAATGCACATTAAAGAAAAAAAACAAGTTTTACCAAGGCCATGACTTAAACCACAATTCTGCTTTACTGTTGATAAGCTGTTCTATTACAGCAATGAAAAACTATTGCTTTATGTTTTGTATACTCATTAGATGCACTTAACCATAAAACTGATAAAATTAGGAGTTATTGTCAAAATGGAAGTTATCTTCATGTTACTGAGGTTTAAAAATCTGTTGACAATCCCTTTAATCTTTAAGTAATTACTGTATTTCCATTTTGTACTAATAGGTGAATTCCACAGTAAGCATCAAAAGAAACAGCTGCAGATTAGGACTGTGAGACAAGTTAATTTTTCTTTGATTTGTCAGTATATCTTACCAGTTAATTTCTGATTGCTGTGGATGTACTTTCTGCGGATGATTATTCAAGATGATTCTATGAGTCTTAAAGTGTGTGTTTTTAAGAATAAGCATATGTGAAGCATAGGTCAAAACTATTTTTAGGACATTGCTGCTTTACTTTATTCTAATCGTATCTAAGAAGTTGTCATGTAGACCTTTGTCCTGTGATGCATGATACAACAGAAATGCATTAAATAATGCTTGTCTTCTTAAAAGGTTAAAAATAAGAATATACAACAACATTAATTGTTGGAAATATAAGTTGTAAACACATTTCTTGGCAACTGTGTGACACTTATTCTTCTGTAGTGTTTGTCTGAGCCCTGTTGCTTCTTTTTGTGTGTATAGAAAATCTGGCTGACCTTATTTCATATTCATATTTCCCTTGTTGCAGGGTTTCAGTGTGCATTTGAACATTCCCCCGTGACTTTTAAATTACCTGGTTTTGTGTTACAAAAAACAGTTTTAGTAAAAATATTACAGTCTCATTTGGTTAAGAAATTTCTTTAAATAAGCTCTGTGCTGAATTAAATATTTGGGCCAGAAGGATAAACTCTAGAAGCATTTAAATTTTACATTGATAGTAATTGTTCCTTATCACTAAATGCTGATGATAAAAGGGTATGGGCTTACACTTAAGCTGCAGTATCCTCTGTTCTTAAATAATTTAGGTATGTTTGGTACACATTTCAAATCTTGTGAGTTGAGAAAAAACAGAGCTAGAGAATGTGAATAGTGCTTCTGATACTCAGATATTTTTAGTATTCACTATTGGCAAAATGTTTGTCTCAGCTGAATAAAATTCGGCTGTATAAGGGTGCAAATTATCTTCTTTGGTGCTTGAGGAGCTCGGTACACAAGGATTTAATTAAAAATCACTGAGTAAAAATGACTTCTTTCAATATTTAGCTTTCTGTTCACAGCTTCTAATTGAACACAATTTAAATACCACTTTCTATATGCTTCAGTTAAATGGTTAAAACAGTTAAATGGTGTGTGTATCACTTCAGCATGTCATGGTCACATACAGAGATGGGGACAGAATTGAAGACAAAGCAAACGCATGTTTGAAGCAACTGGTTTTAGTTTTGTAGGTGTTGCATGCTGCTTAGAAAATACAAAGGAGTTCTTGAATGCTCTTTTCTGTTTCTAGTTTAGCAAGTGTCTTTCATTTTTAAAAGAATTAACTGCTAGCTTGGAAAGAATAGTTCAAATAATTAAGCTCCTTAAAATAATAACTTCTTCAGCATGACAGACTGAGTCTTGAGTGATGAAAATGCATGAGCTGAAGTGTTAGCTTGTTTAAATATTTTATATATGCATAGCAAATATATATAAACAAGAATGCTATACACTGCAGTTATTGCAGGGAATGGTTTTTCGAGAGACAGGTTTATGTATTAGTTTGCAGTAATGCTTCCATTCTTTTTGTTTACCGTGCAGTTATGGAACAGACTTCTTTATTTGCTTGGCTTTAGAAATAATATACTCATTTTATTGTTTATACAGGCCATCACACCACATGGACTTTTCATCCTGTTTGGTAAGATATATCAAATATACCTTGAGAAACTACAGGGCTAGCATTCTTTTTATTTGTCTGATACATGTTGGTTAAAGCAGGCTCTATTGTTCTGTCCTTGTCCAGAAAACATACAAGAGAATGTGCTGCATTTAAAATGACAGTAATTGTAGTCAGTAGTTGTAGGCCACGGGTACCAAAAAATAGTTACAACGTCAGGAGAATTTCAGCGTGTGGTCCAAGTACTACAAAGAATGGGAAAGCAAAGGAAGGTGAATAAGGAAAGGTTGCTTCAGAGGAAATGGAGTACAGAACTGGCATGTACGTTGGTTGCAGAGAACAATGTTTGTTCATATAGTAATATTTTAGTAAGGCTCTGTTAAGAGGACTTTAACACTCTTGCACTGTTTAAAAGCTGAACATAAACATGCAGTTTTATGACTAAGATACTGTTTTTTTTCCCCTGTTTCTGAGCTTCAGAAAATAATAAACTTTAAAGCTCTCCTTCATACTAATATTCTAACCAATCTGTTTAATAAGGTAATTTATTCTTTGTAACACTAACATTAGTCAAAAGAAACAGAGTTGCCATTGTAGTAATGCTCCGGACAAATTTCCTTTCTGGATTTCCACAGGTGTGTATGGTGATGTGCATCGTGTGAAGATCATGTTTAAGAAAAAAGAAAATGCTTTGGTTCAGATGGCAGATGCAACACAGGCTCAGTTAGGTACTGATTTCTAAGGCACGGTCATGCTTCAAACTAGCATGAGTGTGATATAGATGAGGAATTTGTCACTGTCAGTGACAAGTATAAAAAAAAAAATAAGTTATTGTGATGCTTTACTACATACAAAGTTTCCTTGTATATGTTGATAATTATCTATTTGCTTTCATCTAAATAAGTTATTTCCCTGTAGTGCTTTAAAAAAAAAAAAAACCTTGTGAATCTCAATCTAGTAAATGTTAGAATTAAAAAGTCATACATTTTTTCTGTAGTTTATCTTAATAATGCATCATACAAACTTCCTGTAGTTTCTTATTAACATATCATACAATTTTCCTGTAATTTCTCCTATTCTAGCTATTTAAGAACAATGAGCTGTTCATTATTGAAATGCTGTTTTGTGTTTTCATTTTCATTGCATTTAGACTGGACATTATATTACATTCTTATATTTATTTTAAATATAATGTTATGACTTAGCCCACCTGGTAGATGTGGAAGTTGCAGTTTAAATTTAGAATGTGAAATGTGACACTAAATAGAAGACAGTATTCAAAGAATCCTTTTTTCTTCCCCTCCCTTCATTCCTGTTCAAATTATATTTCCACTGGTTAGCCATCAGCTACTTGAATGGACAGAGGCTTTATGGAAGGGTCCTCCATGCTACTCTTTCAAAACATCAGACAGTTCAACTTCCTCGCGAGGGACAAGGGGACCAAGGTCTGACGAAGGACTATAGCAATAGCCCTTTACATCGCTTTAAAAAGCCTGGCTCTAAGAACTTCCAAAATATCTTTCCTCCATCTGCCACCCTGCATCTCTCCAACATCCCGTGAGTATCTACATGTGTGATCTTCTTGGAAATAAGTTTTTAGGTTATGTTCTTAAATTACAAAGCTTTAAATTTCCTTGGCCTTTTACAGTTGCCTAAGAATTTGGGTCATTGTGCTGTCTAATTAACAATAAGTGAATTCTTTGACTGTCACTTTCTTATTGTTAGCAAAGAAGATAACTGATTGAATGCTCTGCTGTATGAGTTTTAACACAGTTTACATTTTCTTGAGGATAGGCTTTTGTTTTTCGCATATTAAGCCCTGTGTTATAAATTTTTGCAAAGATTAAAGATAAGGTTTTTGAGATAATGTACTGGAGTTACATTACATCAGATTAATCATTGGCATCGTTATTTAATGTAGATACAATTTTTAATCATTCTAACACTTTTTAAGGAATAGTTTTACAGAATTCAGACCTCTTACATAGAGAAGATGTTGTTTTAAAAAAATATATTAAGAAATGTGTTCTTTAAAACTGAAAAAACTTTTTTTCCTATCTAGAGTGTTGTAAACATAAGTTTTTACAGGCTGCTTTTGTTTGGCAGCTGTGCAGGGAGGGGAAAGGGAAAACTATGAAATTTTGTCCAAGTGAGGAAAAAAAAAAAAAAAGACACTTAGAAAATGGCTTTTTGATTAAAATAGAAAAAATTCAAAACTGAAAATGCGTGAAGCACACTCACAATAATTGCAAGATGAAAGGTATTTCTGAAGGTACTAGTGAAGATCTGAAGTGATTTTTCTGCAATCTCAGTTTAACTGAGGAAGGAATGGGGGAGGATGAAAAGCAGTGGAGTGTATCTGAAATATTTTTGTAGCATACTCTGGTGCTTAATCTTAGTGTCAAAGCCAAGGTGTTTGGGTGAAAGGGTTGACATGGTTTGAGTTGGTGGAGATAGATTTTGCTGTTCAAATTTAATTTAAAAGGTAGAGCTGAGATTTTGATACTAATACAGAACTCTGTGCTCTTTTACAAGTTAAGAGAGTTTTGTTTTGATTTTGTTTGCTTTTTTCAAACAGACCTTCGGTTACTGTTGATGATCTGAAGAAACTTTTTACAAGTACGGGATCTACTGTGAAAGCTTTCAGATTCTTCCAGTAAGTCCTCTTCTAAAAATGCATAGCAAGCTTTCATCCTGGAAGATGGCTAATTGCTTTTTTGGGAAATTCCATGTGTGTATAACTACAGGCAAAATTCCATGTGCATATATCTAGAGGCAAAAGCTGTATAACTATAACATTTTTAATGATAATTCTAATCTTAAAATTTTAAATTGGATACTATGTTAGCATAATTAAATAAAAAATATTAAACATTTTAATAAATTCAACATGTATTCAAAGTAAGATAAGTTTAAGCAAAGTAAATACTTGCTTCCTTAAAAAGAATACAAGCTGTGTATATGTAAAATGTCATGCAGAAGATGACAGAGAATCTGCTTTAACATTAAGGTTGCTTGGCAGCATTATTTTAGCATGATCATACCTGCTAGAATAATCCCATATACATGGACAATACAAGTGTTTCTTAGAGGTCTTTAAGCCTCATTTCAACCCCGATTTTGATGTGCAGTGTAATGGAAGAATGGCATGGCCCTAGACCATTGATCTGCAAAATTTGATTAGTTTTGTTATGTCCTCATTTTAGCACATGCATAACTAGTTCTGAGTCTTTTGCTGTACAAGTGTTCGGTGTGTGTGATGTTGCCGAAAAAATACTTGCGTCACTTTTCTGTGTTGGCAAGTGCGATTAAAATTTTGTTAGGATTAATAATTGGTTTTATTCTACTTCAGAAGAGATTCCAAAATGGCTCTTATCCAGCTGGGCTCTGTGGAAGAAGCACTTCATGCTCTCATTAAGCTTCACAATCATGACCTTGGAGAAAACCATCACCTCCGAGTTTCCTTCTCAAAATCTACAATCTGACTTTTTTGTGAACTTTCCTTTTAAGACTGCATCACAGTTTTAGTAAAATCTTCAAATAGAGACTGAAACAGCTGTGACCAGCTCTGTCTCTTGAAAGAAAAAGTTTATTCATGCACGAAGAATTAAGTTATCATCTTTTCTGATTTTGGCTGCCAGTATGTGGTCAAAGTTTATTAGTCATCCATAGAAAGATTCTGTGAAATTGCTTTAGCAACAATATTTATAATAAAATTTCCTACTTAAAATTATATTTTAGGAATATCCTTTTAGCTTTTATTCTAAATCAGCCTTACTTTAGAGTTCTTTTGCAATATACCAAACAAAGAGTATTTCTATCAAAATGGTAAGTTACTCTAGACAGATTAAACACTAATTTGAATGTGAGATAGTGCTTGGGTTTTGTGAAGAAAAGCCAGCACTGACTGTGAGTGTCCTCTAAATGCTATTTATGTTACCACGGTATGTGTTCATACTTTGGCAAATCTTTATGAATAACTTTTTTAAAAAAACAAAAGTCTGTGATGTTCATATGAGTTAAATTATTAGAGAAAAGGCAGTGCCTTCTCTCTGTGGAGTAAAAGATATTTGACAAGTTTCTTCAAGATGTAGTATCAGACTTAGCTTGACTTAACGATGGAATGGAAGTTTAATGTCTTATTTTTACTATGAAGTGATGTTGTGTAATAGTACTTTGGAGAAAATAAGAAAAGAAAACAGTCCTGATTTCAAATAATTTTTAACATTTCTTTAAAGAATAAAATGTTTACAATCTTACGGAAAATATTCAGGTCTATAATGGTTTGACAAGTTTTTACAAAGTTATTTTTGTTAAGGTCATCTTTAGGGGTGGAAAAATTAAACCTCAAGGGTTTTTTGTACCACTATAATGTCTAATAATTAAATTTCTGTGTATTCACTTAATTTCTTATTATGTGCCTTACTATGTGCTTATGATATAATAGCTTAGAGTTTTGTCTGAATTATCTTGAAACTTATATTGTAGGTTTGTGAAAATTCTCTTCTTGGTCTTTTTGAAAATGTTTTCCTGGATACTACTTTTTTTTTTTTTTTTTAATTAAGTAATGCTCTGAATTTTAGTCTCTTGTGCTTTGGTATAAAGATTGGTTAGAGGTGGAATGAGATTTAACTCATTGTGTAATCATGTGGGGATTCTTCTAATTTACCTGTTTGCAGTTGTCTGATACTAGTACTTGGCTGAAAAAATTTTCACATGCAGAAAAGTGCACTAAAAACCCCCAATATGGAAAGACCAAACAGCAGATTCAGTCCTATTTTTTTAACTTTTTGAGAGACATTGGCTGTATCAGAATATTCTCTTTTGGGTTCCTGCATTTTTCTGTCAGTATTAAACTTCAAGTAATAAAGAGCTATCATTATTTCCTTTTTAAGTGTGAAAAATTGTTCAATACTGAGTGTTCGTTTCTCTTGGGAGAATGAGCTGAAATGCAGTTAATTTTGATATTGAAAGTACATATGAATTTTAGTGACTTCTGATTGCATTTTAAAAAGATTAATTTTGGTTTAAGAGATTTTTCTTTCTAGTATTTACTTAACCACCTTTTAAAGAGGTATTCCTCTCAAACATAGCATTTATTTACTTCTGGCTGCTGCAGAATATGTTTCTGCTGTATTGCTTTGCCACTCATTCACTTTTGGGTTTTTTCATTAATTTGTATGAATCATATGACTCTTTTCTGTCATGTTTCTACCATGATCTGAGTATTCTGGAGTACGGGTTTTTCAAGTTTTCTCTCTGAATTATTTTTGCATAATCAGCAAGATACTAGCTTGCCTTCTTTTAAGGCTTTTAAAGCTTAATCAAACACAAAGGGATGAGGGCCTCTGACCTTCTCTCAAAAAGAGAAAGGAATAATTTCTCAGTTTTAGCTTAATTTTAGAGTATAGCTAACATCAGCTCCAAACTGTTTGCAGTTTGAAATGTAGAAGCCTGCAGTTTAAGTTAGCAGATATTTACAGGTTTTTAATTTAGAAGAAAAATCTGGGTGGTGGATATTTATGATAAGGTTTTCTTGGTTTTATGATACATTTATCATGTATCTTTTTTTAATTCTCCTTTGTTGTTGCTCTGTTTCTGCAGTTGAATTATTCTTGTCAACTTTTACTAAGTTGTGTGTATCTTAAAGATGCTGCCTCTTAGGGAGATCTGTTTTTACAAGAATTGCAGACAAGCTTCAAAACTAACAGTACATCTTAATGTTTGCTTAGCAGAATGAAGGCACTAGTTAAGGCTAGTTTATCTCATTCAGTATTCTGCCTTGAATAATTAAAAGCAAAAACATAACCCCTTGACTATCATAATGCATTGTTAGGAAAGGATCAGGACAAAAGGAATCAGTCTTACACTGTGTTTGACACATTCATGCCTGGCTGCAAAAGCACAGTTGCATCTCGGTTCTCGATTCTCTAAAGCACGTGGGAGCAGATCCCTTGATATCAGTGAAACGAGCAGGATTTGGGAAAGAATGGGATTATTCTACAGATTCTTACACTGATGTAAATTGGAAAGGAACATCTGGAGGCCTTATTTCTCAGTCAGATTAGGGCCAACTTCAAGCAATTGCTCAGAGAACTGTCCAGTTAAGTTTTCAGTATTTCCAGGAACAGAGGTTTCACAAATTCTCTGTTCTTCTCACTGTTCCAGTGTTTGACTGCCATCATTGTGAATTTTGTTCCCCTAATATGTAATCAGGCTTTAAAAATATTGCATCCTATGTCTCTTGTCTTTTGTCCTGTTAACTGCAACTCCCGAGAAGATTCTGGCTCCATCGTCTCTTTACTGTACCATAAGTTGTTAAAGATAGGTTCAAAATTTCTTTAATATAGGTTCTTAATTTCTGTTTAAATAATTAGTGAAGTACTTGGTAATGTTAATAACATAACACGGAACTTGTACTCTAAAACACTCGTGGTTATATCCTGACTGCAGGTACTGGAAATGATTGAGGGTAGAATTCTCTGCCTGTGTATATGTCAAGTCCACAAATCAGCTCTGGGTTACCTCTGGCTCCATTTTCTGTGGTGGATGCACATGCACACTTGGCTCAAAGTGTAGTAAGGCCTTTTTAACAACCCAGGAGCAGCTTAGTGCTGTTTCAAATGACCTGTGATTTGTTGCATAATAGTAAAACTTTTGCTTCTTCAAATTTTCCAAATGTCTTTGAATATCAGAAAAACTTTCTGAAACTTTGATTTATAATTTGGCTCGGTTGCCTTGTCTGCTGGTCTTGTCAATTGTACTTTTTTTGAGCACTGATAAATTGATGCCTAAAATATTCCACATGTCTGAGACGGTTTGCGTATATATGACATTTTCTGATTACAGGTGGAAAACCTGTGTTTGTATGTTGAGAAAACTATTTGCCTTTGTTGATAAAACTACCAATGTGGTTTGTGTGATCAAATATCTTGGCCTCTCTGATTCGTGTCGGTGGGAAAGTGATGAGTTCTTTTTTTATAAGGGATGTGGACCTATTACTTGTCATTGTATACTATTAGCAAGTACTGCTGTTTTTCAAATGAGAGGTCAGCTGCTTACAAAAAGCATTATTTTGCCTTTACCTTTTGCCCTGGTATGTTGTTAACTAAAGCAGAACTACCAGACTTAGTGTTGTTACTGATGTGCTGAAAGGACACTGGTCAGATTGCACAATTTTTTTTTCTTTGAATTACTTTTATCTTCTGTAGATTTGTTTGCTATATACAAGACTGTTTGCCTGCTCTTTTCAAAGCAAATCCTAACCATTAGGATTGTGAATTATTTCAAAAAAGAATGTAAAATTTCTGAGATATTTAACTTCAGGGTTTTATTGTGAGGATATGGGGGATGAGAACAAAATTGGACCAAAGTTTATGTGCCTTCAGTAGCTCTATATGTAGGTTTTTTTCATATCTATTGCTGTCTTAAGTATAATAAATACTTCTTTTCCCTTGGAAATTGTATATTTATATTGTTAAAAATGAGTGTTGTCCATTGACTGTACAAGAAGTGAATTACAGCTGTTCCAATACAGATTTAATTATCTCTCTGCCTTTGCCATTGCAGTTTTTTTCTTTTATACTGCAGCATGCAGGAATCCAAGCATAACCCACATATTTCCAACTTAGAATAGTAATAACATCTTGTGCCTGGAGCAGTCCCAAAGAAATAAAATGCTTCCATTGTTGAAGGTCCTTGATGGATGAAGAAGGCTTTCACCTTAGCAGAGTAATGCCATCACTGTAAGTGGTTTTTCAGTTCTTAGAAGCTGTGCATTATTTATGACTAGGAAGCTACTGCCTATGTCCTTAGTTGATTTTAAGCACTTTCCAATTCTTTTTGGAGTTATCCACTTTCTGCAAAAGTTGCCCCTAGAACTGTAGCAGCACAAGACAAACGTTGCTAACCAAACTGATTCTTGCTTCAGAATGGCACCTCACTCTCTGACCAAAGACTGACTGTTCTGGTTTTACTGAGACATTCTGTGGAAAACCTGTGTTTTCTTTCACACTCCTTTCTGATGGGAAGACCCACTGCAAAGTGCCCTTTACTTACCACTGCTATTGGTGGACAAAATGAGACCATAATGTGAACCAAATGGTGTGAGATAAGGCAAAAGGTCAATGTACTACTTTTAAGTACTGTATTCAAGACGCACAAAGCATGGCTAAGAATTGCTGACATTCCCTCATTTTACATGATCTGTTCATAAAAGTTCCCTTTCAGTTTATAAAAATGGTCATCTAGCATGGAGAAATGCTGTAAATATTTGTAACATCATGTTTTGTTTTGTTTTTAATCCTGCCAAAAACTGTTTTGGGGAACAAATGGAAGTGTAAAATGTTTTTATATAAAAAAAAATTGTCTTGTATATTTTAATAAGCAACAGCTTTCATTTGTAAAGCATCTTGTGGCATTGCATAAAAAGGATTCCATGTCTGTTGAGATGACTTAAAACTGAAAAGAAGATGTAATATTAAAG